ATCTAAAACGTGCAACAAAGCATACCCTAAGTAACATATTTTACACTCACAAAAATGTAAACAGTGCCCTCTTGTGGTTTTGTCATCTAAAACCTACAACAAACCACACGCTGAGATACATTTCAATTTGCACCAATGTAGACAGCACCCTCTAGTGGACTAGACTGAAACATACAACAAAACATACCTTAAGTAACATTTTTTTTAGTTGCCATCTGAAACATACAGTGAAACGTAATATTTATTTCAGATGCGCAAAAATGTAGACAGCGCCCTCTAGTGGATTTTTCATCCAAAACCTACCACAAAACATACCCTAAGTAACGCTTTTCAGACTCACTAAAATGTTAACAGCATCCTCTAGTAGATGTCATCTGAAACATGCAACACAATTATACAACTATAAGCAAAATTTAAACAGCGCCCTCCAGTGGATTTGTCATCTAAAACATACAAAACGTACCCCAAATAACATATTTCAGATTTGCCAAAATAGTAAGCAGCACCCTCTTGTGGATTTGTCATCTAAAACCGTCAACAAAACACCCTGAGAAACATTTCGATTTGCAACAAACATAGACAGTGCCCTCTAGTAGATTATTCATTTGAAACGTACAACAAAACATAGAGCATCATATTTTACAATTCTCAAAAATGTAGACTGCACTCTCTAGTTTATTTGTCACCTGAAGCGTCCAAAAAGCACATTCCAAGGGCATCGTATTTTGTTTCAGCACCCTTTAGTGAATTTGTCATCTGAAATGTACAATAAAACATAACCTAAGTAACACATTTCAGAATCACAAAAATGTAAACAGCAGCCTCTAGTGGATTAGTCATCTGAAAAGTACAACCAAACAAAAATCGAGCAAAGTATTTTACAATTGGCAAAAACGTAGACCGCACCTCTCTAGTTTATTTGTCACCTGAAGGGTACACAAAACATTCCCAGATGTTTCTCAAAATGTAGACAGTGCCTTTTTATGAGTTTGTCATTTGAAACGTACAGCATAATCTACATTAAGTAACGTATTTCAGACTTACAAAAATGTAAACAGTGTCCTCTAAAGCATTTGTCATTTAAAACATTCGACACAACACTCTAAATAACAAATTTCCTATTTGCAAGATATAAACAGTGCCCTCTAGTGGATTTTTTTATCTGAAAAATAAAGTGAAACAACATAAGTAATGTATATAAGATTTGCAAAAATATAGACAGTGACTTCTAGAAGATTGTCATCTAAAACCTACAACAAAGCATACCCTAAGTAACATATTTCACCCTCTAGTGGATTTGCCATCTGAAACACATAGTGAAACGTAATATTTATTTTAGACTCGCAAGAATGTAGACAGCGCCTCCTAGTGGATTCTGAAACATACAACAAAACATTCCCTAACTTACATATTTATTATTAGTAAAATTAAATCAGTGGATTTGTCATCTAAAGCATACAAAACGTACCCCAAATAACATATTTCAGATTTGCCAACATTGTAAACAGCACCCTCTGGTGGATTTGTCATCTAAAACTGTCAACAAAACACACCCTGAGAAACATTTCGATTTGCAACAAACATAGACAGTGCCCTAGTAATCTGAAACGTACAACAAAACATAAATGAGCATCATATTTTACAATTCCCAAAAATGTAGACAGCTCTCTCTAGTTTATTTGTCACCTGAAGCGTCAAAAAAAAAAAGATTCCAAGATTTTGTTTTAGCACCCTTTAGTGAATTTGTCATCTGAAATGTACAATAAAACTTAACCTAATAAACGTATTTCAGATTCACAAAGATGTAGACAGTGCTCTCTTGTGGATCTGAAGCATTAAACGAAATGTACACTAAATAACATATATCAGACTCACAAGTCCCTCTAGTGAATTTGTCATCTGAAGCTTTTAACAAAAAACACACCTTAAGAAACATTTCAATTTGCAACAAAATGTAGACAGCACCCTCTAGTGGATTTCTCATCTGAAACGTACAACAAAACATACCTTAAGTGACATATTGTGTAAAGCGCTTTAAGTGCCCAGAGAAGCGCTATATAAATGTAAGGAATTATTACTGTTATTATTATATTTCTTAGTTGCAAAATATAAACAGCACCCTCTAGTAGATTTGTCATCTGAAACCTAGGTAATGTAATGCAGACTAGACAGCATCTTTATGGGGATTTTTCATTTAAAACCTACAACAAAACACACCCTAGGTAACATTTCAATTTGCGAAAAATGAACACAGCGCCCTCTAGTGGATTTATCGTTGGAAACATACAACAAAACATACACTAATAAAATATTTCAGACTTTTAAAAAATGCAGACAGCACCCTCTAGTGGATTTGTCATCTGAAACGTACAACAAAACACATCTTAAGTTACTCATTTTAGAGTCACAAAAATGTAAACAGGACCCTCTAGTGGAGGTGTCATCTGAAACCTTCAACAAAGCACATTCTCAGTAACATTTCAAATTAGCCAAAAGTTAACAGCGCCCTCTAGTGGATTTATCGTCTGAAACATACAACAAAACATACCCTAAGTTACATATTTATTATTAGCTAAATTTAAACAGCGCCCTCCGGTGGATTTGTCATCTAAAGCATACAAAACATACCCAAGTAAAATATTTCAGATTCGTCAAAATTGTAAACTGAGCCTTCTAGCGTATTTGATATATAAAACCTACAACAAAGCACACCCTAAGTAACATTTCAATTTGCAAATATTTAGGACAGTGCCCTCTAGTGGGTTTATCATCCGAAACGTACAACATAACAAAAATGGAGCAACATATTGTACAAATAGCAAAAATGTAGACTGCACCTTCCAGTTTACTTTGATGCATTGCAGTTTATTTAGATTCATTCATTCATTTCTTTTCGGCTTAGTCCCTTTATTTATCAGTGGTCGCCACAGCATAATGAACCGCCAACTTATCCAGCATTTGTTTCATGCAGGGGATGCCCTTCCACCTACAACCCATCACTGGGAAACACCCATACACATTCAATCACACACATACACTACAGCCAAATTTAGCTTACCCAATTCACCTATAGCACATGTCTATAGGACTTGTGGGGGAAACCGGAGCACCCGGAGGAAATTAAAGCATTTGGTATTTATTTCGGTGCTTTTGGGGCTGTCTGTCTGCTATCTCGCAAGGTGTTTACTTTGATGCATTTGTCTGTCTCTTACCTCGCAAAGGGATTTGTTTTGATAGATTTGTCTCTCTTACCTTGTAAGGTGTTTATTTTGATGCATTTGTCTGTCTCGTACCTCGCAAAGGGATTCGTTATAATGCATTTGGTGTTTATTTTGATACATTTGGTGTTTGTTTATTTCAATGCATTTGGTGTTTATTTGGATGCATTTGGTGTTTATTTGGATGCATTTGATGTTTATTTGGATGCATTTGGTGTTTTTTTGATGCATTTGGTGTTTATTTTTGGTGCTTTTGGTGTTTATTTTGATGCATTTGGTGTTTATTTTGGTGCATTTGGGGTTCATTTTTGTACATTTGGTTTTTGTTTTGATGCATTTGGTATTTATTTTGATGCATTTGGTGTTATCTGTCTCTTACCTCACAAGGTGTTTATTTTGGTGTGTTTGTATGTCTCTTATTTTGCATTGTTTATTTTGTTGCATTTGGTTTTATTTAGATGCATTTGTCTTTGTCTTACCTTGCAATGTGCTTATTTTGGTGCATTTGTCTGTCTCTTACCTCACAAGAGGTTTGTTTTGATGGTTTTGTCTCTTACTTGGCAACATGTTTGTTTTGATGTATTTGGTGTTTATTATAATGCATTTGGTGTTTATTTTTATGCATTTGGTTTTTAGTTTGATGCATTTGGTTTTTAGTTTGATGCATTTGGTGTTTATTTTGGTGCATTTGGTGTTTATAATAATGCATTAGCTGTTTATTTTGATGCATTCTGTGTTTATTTTGATGCATTTGGTTTTTAGTTTGATACATTTGCTGTTTATTTTGATGCATTCTGTGTTTATTTTGATGCATTTGGTTTTTAGTTTGATGCATTTGGTGTTTATTTTGGTGCATTTGGTGTTTATAATAATGCATTAGCTGTTTATTTTGATGCATTCTGTGTTTATTTTGATGCATTTGGTTTTTAGTTTGATGCATTTGCTGTTTATTTTGATGCATTCTGTGTTTATTTTGATGCATTTGGTTTTTAGTTTGATGCATTTGGTGTTTATTTTGGTGCATTCTGTGTTTATTTTGATGCATTTGGTTTTTAGTTTGATGCATTTGGTGTTTATTTTGGTGCATTTGGTGTTTATAATAATGCATTAGCTGTTTATTTTGATGCATTCTGTGTTTATTTTGATGCATTTGGTTTTTAGTTTGATGCATTTGCTGTTTATTTTGATGCATTCTGTGTTTATTTTGATGCATTTGGTTTTTAGTTTGATGCATTTGGTGTTTATTTTGGTGCATTTGGTGTTTATAATAATGCATTAGCTGTTTATTTTGATGCATTCTGTGTTTATTTTGATGCATTTGGTTTTTATTTTGATGCATTTGGTTTTTAGTTTGATGCATTTGCTGTTTATTTTGATGCATTCTGTGTTTATTTTGATGCATTTGGTGCTATCTGTCTTGTCACCTAGCAAGGTGTTGATTTTGGTGCGTTTGTATGTCTCTTTGCAGTGTTTATTTTGATGTATTTGGTGTTTATTTAGATGCATTTGTCTGTCTCTACTTTGCAAAGTGTTTATTTTGGTGCATTTGTTTGTCTCTTACCTTGCAGTGATTATTTTGATGCATTTGGTGTTTATTTGGATGTATTTAATGCTGTCTGTCTCTTTTTTTCTTTGCGAGGTATTTATTTTGATGCATTCAGTGTTTATTCGGATGTATTTGGTGTTTATTGTGCATGGTGCATTTAGTGCTGTCTTTCTCTTGACTCAAAATGTATTTATTTGGATGCGTTTGGTCGTGTACTGCGTGTGTTTGTCTCCTACCTGGCAGTCGTACAGCAGGTGCAGCTGGTCGTCGATCCACTCCTCGATGTCCAGTCTCCTCTGCAGGTCCTTACGGTTGTATTTGACCGTGAGTTTGCCCAGTTTGCGTTGGGCAGGCTCCTCCTCTTTGGTCTGAAACATCACTCTGGACTGAGTGCCCGGCTCCAGCTCCGGCTCCGACGCCATGCCTGCCACAACAGTCTGTCTTTCTCTCTGTCTGTCTCACACACACTCTCACACACACACACAGGGTCCTTCAGCTGGAGTCCTGCTGCGATTGCTCCTCTCTCTCTTTACTGCAGTGTGTTTTAAATCATGATCGTCTTGTTTGTGTCTCGCAGCCTCCTGTAGTGCCTGTCTTCTGTCTGCGCTCCAAATGAACATTGACTCTCTCCCTCTCTCCCTCCCTTCCTCGCTCGCTCTTGCTCTATCTCTCTCTTTCTCTTGCACTCTCTCTCTCTCTGACGCTCTCAATTCTTTGAGCTTAATTCATTCTAATGGCATGTCAAATTGGTGTATATAGTAAAATAAAAAATAGCAATAATGAAAACAAATAATGATTATATATATAATATATATCATAAAAATTATAACAATGATATATATAAAATAAAATAATAAATAATTAAAAATCTCTCAGATTGAAAAAAAAATTGTCTCAGATTAATTCATTTTATTGGCATGATATAAATGCATATTGTCAAAATGTTGTACATAGCAGAAAAAATGCAATAATAATAAATAAATAAATAAATAAAAATTATTTTATAAAAAATTATAACAATGCTATTAATTATTGCTATTAACAATGCTATTAATTATTATGGCATGACTTGGGTGCATATTGTCAAAATGTTGTACATAGAATAAGAAAATAGCAATAATAATAATAATAATAATAATAAATAATGTTAATAAAAAATCATAACTGATATATTTTTTATAAAATAAAATAATAATAAAGAAAAAAAAGTTCTTAATTCTCTCAGAATAATTCACTTTATTGACATGACATAGATGCATATTGTCAAAATGTTGTACATCTGAATAAAAACGGCAATATTAATCATAATAATTAATAATTATAATAAATAACAATAATATTTAAAATATATAACAATGCTAGTCGCATATTTTTAAATTAATAAATAAAATAAAATAAAGTAATACATAATTACATATCTCTTTCGATTCTCTCAGTTTAATTTATTTTACTGGCATGACGTAGATCCATATTGTTGTCAAGTTGTCATATTGTGTACGTATATATTCATTATGTATGTATATATTATATATATATATATAAAATAAAACAATCAGAAATTAAATAAATGCATGCACAGTTAGGAAAATAACTAATATAATGTTTTAAAAATAAGTTAAATAAGTTAATAAATATAGAACATACAAGCATCTTCTTATATGAATAGCTTTTTAAAGTGAGAAACTCTTTCTCTGTGTGTGTGTGTGTGTGTGTGTGTGTGTGTGTGTGTGTGTGTGTGTGTGTGTGTGTGTGTGTGTGTGAGAGAGAGTGTGTGTGTGTGTGTGTGTGTGTGTGTGTGTGTGTGTGTGTGTGTGTGTGTGTGTGTGTGTGTGTGTGTCTGCTTTGTTTATAGGGCAGTAATAAAGACATGTTGTCGGAGTGTGTGCTCTGTGTTTATGTGTGTCCTCAGGAGGAACATAGTTCAACTCAAGACTGATAACATGCGGTAAGATCAGTGTCAGAGGACAAAACACTATTGCTGTAATGTGCAGTGGCAGACATTTCTAAATTAGGCACAAATATGTTTATTTACAAAAAAAATGCTGTAATCATTTCAGCACAAATTCGGGTCACATAAGGACAAACCCAATTCACACGTTCTGTTCCCATAATATATGAACATGTAATATCCGTACTGTGTATATTTTTGTGCAAATAAATATATGCATGACTAAATTGTATAAAATTCTTGTTCATATTTTTATACAAATAGTTACACTCACCGGCCACTTTATTAGGTACACCTGTTCAACTGCTCGTTAACGCACATTTCTAATCAGCCAATCACATGGCAGCAACTCAATGCATTTAGGCTTGTAGACATGGTCAAGACGATCTGCTGCAGTATAAAACGAGAATCAGAATGGGGAAGAAAGGGAATTTAAGTGACTTTTAACGTGGCATGGTTGTTAGTGCCAGATGGGCTGCTCTGTATTTCAGAAACTGCTGATCTACTGGTATTTTCACGCACAACCATCTCTAGGGTTTACAGAGAATGGTTTGAAAAAGAGGAAATATCCAGTGAGCGGCAGTTCTGTGGGCTCAAATGCCTTGTTGATGCCAGAGGAGAATGGCCAGACTGGTTCCAGCTGAAAGAGAGGCAACAGTAACTCAAATAAGCACTCGTTACAGCCGAGGTCTGCAGAAGAGCATCTCTGAACACACAACACGTCCAACCTTGAGGCGGATAGGCTACAGCAGCAGAAGAGCACACCGGGTGCGGCTCCTGTCAGCTAAGAACAGGAAACTGAGGCTACAATTCACACAGACTCACCAAAACTGGACAATAGAAGATTGGAGAAACGTTGCTGCTCTGATGAGTCTCCATTTCTGCTGACACATTCAGATGCTAGGCTCACAATTTGACATCAACAGCATGAAAGCATGGATCCATCCTGCCTTGTATCAACAGTTCAGGCTGGTGGTGGTGGTGTAATGGTGTGGGGGAGATTTTCTTGGCACACTTTAGGCCCATTAGTACCAACACTACTTCCAGCAGGATAACGCACCATGTCATAAAGCTCAATCATCTCAGACTGGTTTCTTGGACATGACAATGAGTTCACTGTACTCAAATGGCCTCCACAGTCAGCAGATCTTAATCCAATAGAGCACCTTTGGGATGTGGTGGAACGGGAGATTGGCATCATGGATGTGAAGCTGACAAATCTGCAGCAACTGTGTGATGCTATTATGTCAATATAGAGCAAAATCTCTGAGGAATATTTCCAGTAGCTTGTTGAATCTCTGCCATGAAGGATTAAAGCAGTTCTGAAGTCAAAAGGGGTCCTAACCCGCTACAAAGGGGTCCAACCCGCTACTAGTAAGGTGTACCTAATAAAGTGGCCGGTGAGTGTATATGTAAAATACAAATTAGAAATTATAATCAAAATATGTGTTAGTATATTTCTTTTGTATATTTTAGTATTGCATGTATAGTATGTGTGTGTATTTTACATTAATAAATAATTATACACAGTACACGGATATAATATGAATACATATATATATATAAACTATATATATATATATATATATATATTATATATAGGTGTGGGTGAAAGTTACTAAGACATTGTGATTGCTAAGGTGTTGTTGTGTGGTCTTTAAGATATGTTGCTATGTGGATTCTTTGAGGTTACTGTTGTTATTGTTATCCTTGGGTTTTGTGCCGGGTTGCTAAGCTGTAAATTATATAGGTACATAGATAAAAATGTTCATAGATTTATAATAAAACAGTTGTCAATTTTTATGTGTGTTTTACACCAATATTAGACATCAATTTGGTGTCATTTGTCATTGTTTTTTTATGTGTTTTTGTGAAGTTATACAGAGCAGCAGATAATAACTTGACTTCTAGTTGATGATGTGTAAAAGTGTCTGAAGGTGGATTCCTCTGCTGAATCATCTGTTGATCTGCATCAATCATCACCAATACTGCAGAAGACCTACTGGAACCAGCATGGAGCCAAAATTCTGACAGAAATCAGTCAAGTTTGGTGAAGGAGAAATCATGGTTTGGGGTTCATTCAGTATGGGGGCGTGCGAGAGATCTGCAGAGTGGATGATCAACATCAACAGCCTGAGGTATCAAGACATTTGTGCTGCCCATTACATTACAAACCACAGGAGAGGGACGATTCTCCAGCAGGATAGCGCTCCTCATACTTCAGCCTCCACATCAAAGCTCCTGAAAGCAGAGAAGGTCAAGCTGCTCACCAGACATGAACATTATTGAGCATGTCTGGTGTAAGATGAAGGAGGCGTTGAAGATGAATCCAAAGGATCTTGATGAACTCTGGAAGTCCTGCTGAACGCTTTCTTCACCATTCCAGATGACTTTATTAATCAGTGATTTGAGTCATGTCAGAGATGTATGGATGCAGTCCTCCAAGCTCATGATGGAGTCAGACACAATATTCATTCTGTCTCCACTGCAGCAGGACTTTATATTCTATACTGGACATTATTTCTGTTCAGTGATGAGACTTTAGTCTGAGCAGAGTCAGACCTTACTGTCCTAATCAAATCAGTCAACATCAAGACATGATCAGATTTTATTGTGCTCAAATAAGCATCATCTAGAGGCCTTTGCCTTTCATATAAGACACTTCTGATACCAAATGATCAACTAGAAGACAAATTATTAGTTGCTCCTAAAACTTGGATAGGCCACAAGACTTTGGTCAGTTTTTTTTGCTGTTATTCTGGTGGTCAAAGGGGCATCAATGTGTGGATGTCCAATGGAGGTCAAGGTTTTGACACAAAAATGATTTTCGTTTTTGATGTGTTTTCGATGTCGTTTTGATATCAAGGTGTCCACTGCATGGCTAGTGCACAGTGGATCTATTGAAGCACAGCTCTTTTGCTCAGACACTTTGCCCCATTATCACATTATCAGAGGTAATGGTGCTTTCATTACCAGTGGTATCCTGTGCCAGGAGGAAATGGAGAGTAATGGATGTGACTTTGCCCTGTTTCGATTCAACAGGGATCAGCAAAGAGCCATATATGTCAAAATCATCCTCTGATACGTCAGTTGTCACTTAGAGTTGCCGGACAGATCATAAAGTTTCCATTTACTGCTACCGAACGCATTTTCCCGTAAGGCTGAGAGAGAAAAACACGTTGTGCAGGTTACAATCACACATTTCCAAGATATTGATACAATGATCCATTCATTAATCTCATATCAACAGATAAGCTGCAGATATTAAGGAAAAGAAAAATAGGAATTTAACAATGTTTTCCCACTTTAAGCCAAATGTTAAATTCCCTGACTTTTCCCCTACACTAGTGTTTATTTTGATGCATTCAGTTTTTTATTTTGACGCATTTGGTGTTTATTTTGATGCATTTGGTGTTTATTTTTATGCATTTAGTTTTTATTTTAATACATTTTTGTTATTTATTTTATGCATTTTGTGTTTATGTTGATGCATTAGGTTTTTATTTTAATGCATTCTGTGTTTATTTTGATGCATTCTGTGTTTGATTTGATGCATTTTGTGTTTTTTTTATGCATTTGGTGTTTATTTTGATGCATTTGGTGTTTATTTTGATTCATTTGGTGTTTATTTTTATGCATT